CTCTCTCTCTCTCTCTCTCTCTCTCTCTCTCTCTCTCTCTCTCTCTCACACACACACACACACACACACACACACACACACACACACACAGAAAGAGAGCACAGAGGGAGCGAGAGAGAGAGAGAGAGAAACAGAAAACAATGCCACAGGCGAAGCCGCCGCATGCGGCAGTTGGTTACCAATGAATGAGGTTAGGCAAAGAGAGGACAGCGAGAGGGGAAGAAAGACGGAGAGAGAGAGGGGGGAGGGGGCGGGAAGGAGGGGCGGGCTGTGCTCTATGATACCCTAGCAGTACCTCAACCGGTCCAGGCAGATGTACACCGAATCGATCACTCGCCCTCGCCTTGAGCGAGCTCCACGTGCTTTCGTCCCCTGTGTAGATCAGACATCTGGCGGATGGATGCTCCTCTTGTACAGCTCGAACAGCGCACCAGAGAACTCTCTCCCCACCACCTCCATCGTTCGTGTAAGGATGAAAAAATGCCACAGAAAAGTTTTCGTCGACTTCTTTTCTTCCTGCTACGCTTTCGTCTTTGGCCCCAAGAAAGGAGGAAGCCAAGGCCTGGGAAGAGTACGAGGACGAGGAGGGGGAGGGGGAGGAGGAGGAGGAGGAGGACATAGAGGACACAGAGGAGGAGATCGACTGCTTCCTCCTTCTTCGACTTTGCCGGAGCCAGCCCGTGAGCGCCAGTCTGACCAAAAATAGACACAGGATAAAGCAGATAGTTAACGCCAGAAGCAGCGACAACGCCGCGGACAGCACAACGGCCGTTCCTAAGGTCATCATTGCATCTTCGCTAGAGACTAACCGCCGCGCGACGCCCATAGCTGGCGATATAGAGACCATAGCTGGAGCCATAGCAATACCAACCACTAAGCAACCACCACCCCTACGGGCGACCTCCTATCACCTACCAGCCTCCGTTCGCTGACAACATCGACAGAAACAGACCCGATGTTCCAAAATTCGAACACTCGCGGGTGTTTGAAAGAGGTCACGGCGCGCAGTGCAATGGAAGTTCCACAGCTTGAACGGTCAAGACGGGGGAGGAGTAGGTGTTTGTTTGCTACGTTGTTCTGTAGGTCGTGCTGTGATCGGGGGTGAGGTCCCACTAGCAAAGAGGGTTGGATAAATATCCTGAATCTGGACGTGTTTTAACCACATGAGGAAAAGCAGTTCACTCTCGACATTCTGCACCTCTCTGCCAACGAGTCCAGATTCCGGTGTTCAATCCAAACCTCTTTGCTACCTCGCCCCGGGATAAACGTCCCATCCAAACTGGGGCGGGTAAACACGTAGATTTTTTTATTTTTTATTTTTTTTTAAACCACCAGTACCTCCGAGCCTGTTTTTGCCGACCCTGATTTTTGCTGCGCGCCGTCTTTTTCCGAGGCCATATCCCGCGGTACCTGGTAGGCCGTGTTTTTTCGCGGTACCTCGTAGGCCGTGTTTTTTTTTTTTTTTTTTTTT